TTGTGCCTGTTTGTTATTTCGAACCACTGAATCTACCTAGAATTTTTAATAGTCTTTATGGGATTTAGGACCAGGGATGTGTATATATGGGTGAACGTTACCTGAATGGGTATTATGTTTGTGCATGAATCAGATAGAAGGGGATACTTCCTATCTCATTCAGTGAAGGTGTCACTATACTGACACCAAACTCAGAGGAAGATGGTATAAGAAAACTGCATACCAATATTCCATAGAAGCAAAAATACTCAACAAAATAATAGGGAACCAAATCCAAAAACATATTAAAAGAATAATATATCCTGATCAAGTGGAGTTTATTCCAGGAAAGCAAGGGTGGTTTGACATCAGAAAAGCAATTGATGCAATGGTGGTTTATGTGCCGTGGAGTCGGTTCTGACTCATAGCAACCCTGCATAGGGTTTCCGAGGCTGTAAATCTTTATGGGAGCAGAAAGCCTAACCTTTCTCCCACGGAACAGCTGGTAGTTTCGAACTGCTGACCTCGAGGTTAGCAGCCTGACTCATAACCACTACGCTACAACAAAGGGAAGGAAAAAACCATGCAATCCTGTCAATTCCTGCAGAAAAGCCATTTGACAAAATTCAATGCCCTTTCTTGATTAAAAACACTCACCAAAATAGGAGTAGACGAGAAATTAAAAGGTGAAGGAAAACCTTAAATGGGAGGTGGATGGAGCAGTCTGGTTAGGTGGTCTCTCTAAATGAAAATCTCTTTTAAATGATTTTCTGCCTAAGGAAATTGAGCAAGAGTGATGTGGCTGGGGATGATGAGAGAAGAGGTTAGGCTGGGACAACGCTTGGTTTATGCTGAGCAGGCCCATCTTGGACTCCGGGGCTTTCTAATTTCTCTGGACGTCTCTCCACGCACCTGTGATCATTCCTAAAACCAGGTTCTTCCTTGTACTCCCAGGATGACCGACACAGATAAGCCAGAGCGGAGGTTGGATCGTGATACTGGTAAGTGGGGACCCCGAGTCCTCGCCTGGCTCCTTTCTCTTCTCCCCATAACCACGGCTCCCCTTGATATTGTCCACTCAGGGGCCTCCCAATCACAGACCTCTCTGGGTGCACCTGCCTCTCTTCCTCTTCTCAGTGAAGGACAGCCTGTCATCTATTCACCCACATTCACCTGGGTCACCCCTTTTGCTCCCTCCCCCTCAACCCCATCTGGCTATGTATTCTCCTGAACAGGCCAATCCAGGCTCCAGCCCCTTGACCCCCAAACCTAGCTCCTTCATGGTTTTTTGACCTCCAGGCTAACCTACAACTCACTCCTAGGCAGGGAGGTCCTTGTAAAACTCTGACCCTGTCTTTCCTTCCTCTGCTCAAACCTCCTCCATGGCTCCCCAGTGCCCTTGAGGCAAAGTTGAGCTCCTTAGCATGGCTTTCACGGCCCTTCATGAACGGGTCCTCATAGTCTCCGCTAGCTTCATTCTCCACGTGTAACAACAGCCCATGGTGCAAAAAAATATTAAATTATATTTCTTCAGATATTTCCTTAAACCCTCTCTCTGTCTCACACTTACAGGCCTCTCTGCACATGCAGTTTCCTCTCCCACCTCTGCTTAGCTCTCACTTCTCTTTCCAGAGTCCTCTCCTCCAAGAAGCCCGCCCAGACTTCTTCAGCCTGGGCCAGGTGCCCCCTCTGAGCTCCCCTGTCCCAGCTCAGCTCATTCTGGGTCCTCACTGTCTGCGGACAAGTCTGTCTTCCCCGAGAGGGCAGGGTCAGGGCTGCCTGGGTGCCTATGTGTCCTAGGCATAGGTGTGGGCAAAAAGAGGGGTTTGTAAGAATGCTCGTTGAATGAATGCCACGAGATGACCTGGACCTCCCCCTTATTCCTTACTTCAGAGGGAGCGAATATCTATGAGGTGCTGCCATCTCCGGGCCTCCTGGGCTCTCCAATCAATGACCCAGGGCTCTGGAACTTAGCCACGGTGAGTCCCCACCTTCCCCTAAAGCGCTCCCAATGGGCAGCTCCCTCGGATTGGGGACTGAGAGGCTTTCATAGGCTGCTCCTTATTTTGTTTTAAATAGTTGGGGGAAAGACTGGAAGAAAACAACAAAATATAAGCAGCATTTGTTTCTGAGTGTGGGGGGTGTGGGCGGAGCGTGGAGGATGGTGGGCGGAGCATGGAGGATGGTGGGCGGAGTGTGGTGGATGTGGGAGGAGTGTGGAGGATGGTGGGCGGAGTGTGGGGGATGGTGGGTGGAGTGTAGTGGGCAGAGTGTGGGGGATGGTGGGCGGAGTGTGGAGGATGGTGGGCGGAGTGTGGGGGATGGTGGGCAGAGTGTGGGGGATGGTAGGTGGAGTGTAGTGGGCAGAGTGTGGAGGGTGGTGGGTGTGGAGGGTGGTGGGTGGAGGATTTCTGATAGAGGGTGGAAGGTCAAGGTTGCAGAGTGGTTTTATCTCCTGTAAACCTACCCGTGTTTTCTACGCTGTGCAGACATTCCTTTTACAATCGGAGTTGTTACTGTTGTTGTTGTTGTTGTTGTTATGTGCCATGGAGTCGGTTCTGACTCTTAGCGACCCTGTGCAGGGTTTCTGAGACTGTAAATCTTTACAGGAGCAGAAAGCCTCATTTTTCTCCCGTGGAACAGCTGGTAGTTTTGAATTGTTGACCGTGAGAGTGTTGTTGTGTTGTGAACTGCCGTTGAGTCGCTTCCGACCCATGGCGACGCTGTATAGGGTTTCCGAGGAGCAGCTTTTTGCTGACCTTACAATTCAAACGGCTTTGCAGTCTGACTCATTAACCTACAGCGCCACACAGTGAGAGTAAGAGTGGTTAAAAAAAGAAGTTAAATGAAGTAAATACAAACTCACAAAGCTTAGACTAAATGGTTATAGCCAAAAGTGTGAATGGGTCAAAGGTCATGATGGGGGTAGTTGTTATGTGCCTTGGAGTCGGTTCCAACTCATAGCGACCCTGTATAGGGTTTCCAAGGCTGTAAATCTTGTAAATCTTTATGGGAGCAGAAAGCCTCATCTTTCTCCTGCGGAACGGCTGGTAGTTTCAAACTGCTGACCTTGAGGTTCACAGCCCAATTCGTAACCACTACACTACCAGAGCTCCTTAAGAAGGGGGTAAACTGAGAAAATAATGAGCCACTGGGCACATCCATGGAACCCTAGTGGCACAGTGGGTTAATCGGTGTGCTGCTAACCACAAGGTCAAACCTAGGAGGCGCTCTGAGAGAATGAAGCTGTGCCAGCCTTCTTCATGAAGATGATAGTCTTGGAAACCCTATAGGACTGTTCCGCTCTGGCCTCAGGGTGGCTGTGAGACAGAAGCGACTCACCAGCAGTGGGTAGTGGTAGTGGGCAGACAAAGTCAGCTGCAGTCAGTGCCCTTGTGCCCACTCATGGAGGGAAACAGACAAACCCACTGCCCTGGAGTGGATTCTGACTCATGGGGGCCCTGGAGGGCAGAGTAGAACTGCTTCCTAGGATTTCTGAGGCTGTCATCTTTACAGATCTTGGTGTGGCCACTGTAGGACAAATACTGAACAGCTAACCTCAGAGTTGGCGGTTCAAACCCACCAGCCACTCCTTGGAAACCCTATACAGCAGGGGTGATGCACCTATTTTCTGCCAAAGCCTTTTTGATATTTATAGCATCATTCACAGGCCATACAAAATTGTCACCTTAAAGATTCTCCTGCTGTATAACTCACTCCTAATGTGTTGGCTCAGGAGCTCTGGTAGCGAAGGGATTACGAATCGGGCTGCGAACCTTAAGGTCAGCAGTTCAGGAGAAAAATGAGGCTTTCTGCTCCCATAAAGATTTACAGCCTCGGAAACCCTGTACAGGGTCACTATGAGTTGGTTCTGACTCCACGGCACATAACCACCACCACCAATGTGTTGGCTCAAACTGTGGTTGCCTCGGCAGGGCCAGATCAAATGATTTCTCGGGCCAGACATTCCCCGCTCCTGCTATAGAGGGGCCACTGTGAGTCAGAACGGGCAGTTTCCAGAACCAAGGCTCCTTTGGAGCGAAACAGTGAGGTGTACAGAGGTTAATCCCCCTTCCTAGGAGGCTCTCAATAAGAGAGTGGGTGATAGGAAGTTGGAACCCAGGTCTGTGGTCTTGTCAAAGGTTGGAGGGCGTGGGCCTGGCTCACCCATGTTCTTTCCCGGCAGCCCCCGCCCCTACCTCTGACCCTGCCGCCGGAGCCGCAGAACCACCACTACCAGGTATGGAGCTGGGGTGTGTGAGGGGGCCTGGGGGGCGTGTTCCATGGATCTGGGAGCCTGGATGGGTGGGACACAGTCCTAATCTCTCCCTCTCAGGTTCTCAGGCTCCCTGGTTAGAATCTCACTGAGAGCCTCATGGGGCAGGTCCCCTCCTCTCTCCATGTCTGTAAGAGGAGCCCTGGTGGTGCGGTGGGTTAGGCATTGGGTTGCTAACCACAGGCCAGCAGTTCGAACCCACCAGTTAGAGAAAGAGAGACTCTTTGCTCTTATACATATGTGTGGGAATCAACTCAGTGGATATGGAAGTTTGTGTAAGAGGGACGCACGGCCTTGAATTTGCTCCAGAGAGAGGGAGGGGCGTGTCCTGATTCGTCTGGGTCTCACCTCTTCGTCCCCTCCTGTCTTCTGGGTCTCTCCCTGTGTCTCCATGTCTTTCCGTGTCTGTCCCTCACCTGGGGTTTCTCCGCTGCTTGCTCTCTATGGCTTGAGTGTGTGCTTTAGGTGAAAGTTTACAGAGCATGTTAGTTTCCTATTGTAACATGTAACAGTACAGAAAGTTTATCTGGCTCTCCCTGGCTCTCTCTGGATGTCTATACAGCCTTGTTTCTCCCCATCTCTGTCTCTCTTCGTTTCTGAGTCTCTGCCCCTTTCATTATCTGTCACCCTGCACGCTCTCCTTTTCCTGGCTCTTCTGGAACCTTCCATGTCTCCCCCTCTGTGTCTCTCCCTTTGTGTCTGTCAGTCTCTGACTTGGTTCCTCTGTGTCTCCCTCCTGTCCTCACTCCTAAATAATCACTCCCTGCTCTCTTCCCCCTCTCCCGCCTCCCAGGATCTGCTAAACCCCGAACCTGCCCCTTACTGCCAGCTGATGGCATCCCCCTAAAGAGGTCCTTGGGCAGGCCAGATGGGGAGAAGACCATACTTCAGCGCTCCTTTGAGGACCTCAAGCCTACAGAACACAGACCACAAACACCCAGCAGGTCCAGCAGGTGTGAGGACGGACTTGGCTAGAAACTCAGAGCCAGGGCAGGTGTCCCAGGTGGAGTCTGGGAGACTGTGACGGCCAGCTCCTGGTTCATTCCCCGAGTAGACCACCACCCTGCCCCGAGTCTGTTCCTTCAGTCAGCCTGGCCCAGACCACATGTTCCAGGGAAAAGCAGATTCTTAACTCCTGCCACCCGAAAATCCCCTCAGTCTGAAAATTTGAGGGTGAGAGGGTAGTCTCAGGCCTGCTCCAGCCAGACCTCACAGGTGCCCACCTGGCTGAACAAGGCCTCACCCTCACCCTGCCATTCACCTCAGGGACTCAGAAGTCCCCTCTCCCCTGGAACCAGGCAGCCCAAACACACAGGCCTCAGACAATAAAGTACGCACAGGGAGGCCTGGCTTCACAGGTGATGGTCCAGGTAATTTACCACAGTTGCTCTGGGCCCTCTGAACCAGGTGCTGTTCAGTCAGCTCCAGCTCCTGTCAAACTCCATAGGGTTCCCAGTGGCTGATTTTTCAGAAGTAAATTGCCAGACTTTTCTTCCAAAGTACCTCTAGGTGGACTCGAACCTCCAACCTTGCAGTGAGCAACTGAGTGCAGTAACCATCTACATCGCCCGGGTACTCTAGCCACCCTCTCAGAACTCGGAGTCTCTCAGGAATCTGCTGCCAACTTCTGACCCTTACCCCTACCCTGAATTTCAACTCATCCTTAATGCATTCATACCTTCAGCAAGGCAAGCCCCTGCCCTGTGCCAGGCACAGTTCTGGACCCTGGTAGTGAACAAAGCAGAACAAAAGACTGCCCTCCCAGAGGGACACTCTAACAGAGGAGAGAGTCAGAAAACCAAATAAAAAACTGAAATAAATAGTGTGTCCAATGGTGAGAAGGACAGTGGGGAAAATAAAGAGGGGAGGGAGCTGAAAATGTTGAGGGTGGAGGTTTTAAATAGGGAGGACCCCACTGAGAAGCTGATATAAAAGTAAAGATCTGAAGGAAGTGAACAAAGGAGCCATGTAGGAATCTGGAAGGAGAGCATTCCAAGCTGAGAGAACAGTGCAAAGGCCAAAAGATGGCATGAATTCAAGAAACAGCAAGGAGACCATCATGGCTGGAAGAAGTATGGGGGAGGGGAAGATCTTGTGGGGCTGTGTGAGGCATGGGGGAGACTGTATGGTAGGTTCAATAGTGGCCCCCACCAAAGATGTTCACATCCTAATCCTCAGGACTTGTGAATACGTTACACTGCATGTACCCTTTCAGTTAGCAGAGCATGTTAACCATTTGCAACACACACGGAGGTACTAGAGAGCATCAGAATTGTGCATTGTGAATAAAATTATGCTATATGCTATATGCATTGTGAATAAAATTATGCTATAATAAAATGTGCAAAGATCTGGAAGTTGGAAAACTAAAAGGGGAAAACATACTCATCATTTCTCAAGCTGTGGGAACTAAAGGAAAAATTCAAGCCTTGTCTTACAATATTGAAGGATTCTATGGACAAAATATTGAAATGATGCAGAAAGCCTCAAAAGAAGATGGAAGGAATACACAGAGTCACCATACCAAAAATAAATGGTAGACGTTCAACCATCTCAAGAAGTAGTATATGAACAAGAGCCAACGATACTAAAGAAAGAAGTCCAAGGTGCACTAAAGGCATTGGCAAAGAACAGATCTCCAGGGATTGATGGAATACAAACTGAAATCATTCAACAAACTGATGCGGCACTGGAGGCACTCATTCATCTCTGCCAAGAAATTTGGAGGCCAACCACCTGACCAACTGATTGGAAGAGATCCATATCTGTGCCCATTCCAAAGAGAGGTGAACCAACAGAATATGGAAAAAATCACACAATATCATTAATATCGCATTTAGCAAGCAAATTTTTAGAACGGCAGCCATAGTACATTGACAGGGAACTGCCAAAGGTTCAAACCAGATTCAGATGAGGATGCAGAACGAGGGATATAATTGCTGATATCAAATGGATCTTGGCCCAAAGCAGAGAATACCAGAAAGACATTTACCTGTGCTTTATTGACTACACGAAGGCTTTCAGTTGTGTGGATCACGACAAGCTATGGACAACATTCTGGAGAATGAATATTCCGGAGACTCAGTTGTGCTCATGAGGAACCCGAACACAGACCAAGAGGCAGTTTGAACAGAACAAAGGAACACCAAGTGATTTAAAACTAGGAAAGGTGTGCGCCAAGGTTGTATTCTTTCACCATACTTATTCATTCTGTATGCTGAACAAATAATCAGAGAAGCTGGATTATATGAAGAAAAACATGGCATCAGGGTTGGAGGAAGACTCATTAACAACTTGTGATATGCAGATGATACAACCTTGCTTGCTGAAAGTGATGAGGGCTTAAAATACTTACTGATAAAGATCAAAGACACCACAGCCTTCGGTATGGGTTGTACTCCAATATAAGGAAAACAAAAATCGTCACCACTGGACCAATAAATAACATCAAGATAAATGGAGAAAAAGTTGAAGTTGTCGAAGACTTCATTTTGATCAGATCAACCATCAACACTCATGGAAGCAGCACTCAAGAAATCAAACAACATATTGCAATAGGCAAATCTGCTGCACAAGACCTCTTTAAAGATGAGCAAAGATGTCAGTTTGAGGACTAAGGTGTGCCTGACCTAAGCCATGGTATTTTCTATAACCTCAAATGCATGCAAAAGCCGGACAGTGAATAAGACCAACCACAGAAGAATTGATGCATTTGAGTTATGGTGTTGGAGGAGAATATTACAAGTACCATGGACTGCCAAAAGGAGAAACTGTGTTGGAAGAAGTACAGCCAGAGTGCTCCTTAGACGTCATGGCAAGATTTCCTCTCTCATACTGTGGGCATATTATGAAGCGGGACCAATCCCTGGGGAAGGACATCATGCTTGGTAAAGCTGAGGCTCAGCGAAATAAGAAGACGACCCCCAATGAGATGGATTGGCACAGTGGTAGCGACAATAGGCTCAAGTGTGGCAACGATTGTGAGGTTGGCACAGAACCAGGCAGTGTTTCATTCTGTTGTGCATAAGGTCACTATGAGTCGGTACCGACTCAACAGCGCTTAACAGCAACAACATAGGGTCACTGAGTCTGAATGATTTGACGCCTGTAGGTTTTTAACAGACACTTAAAAGAGAGGGCCTTCCCTTGTCTTTTTCCCCTTCTCTTAGACTAGAGTAGCAAAGTTGTATTGCAAATGGGCTAATCGATCACCGGGGTTAAGATTCTGCAGTTGGAGCGTCCTTAGAGAAACTGTTCAGCCTTTTTTGTGTGTGTAACATTTATAAAAATGCATTTGGTATTCTGCCAACTTGAATGACTGAAAATCTCAAAGTTGCTTAGGCAGGTGATGTGATTCTGAGCTAATTGAGTTGCCCGCTTTTTAATTACCCCATTTGAAAGTTCAGCTGTGAATGTCTTTATTCTACAGTTCAAGCACAGATCCATTTTTTTGTTTGTTTGTTTTTGTTTTATTTTTAAGGTTTTTATTGTGGATTGAGTGAAAGTTTACAGGGCACATCATCAGTTTCACATTCAGCCATTCATATGACTTGTTTCATTACATTGATTACAATCCCCTCCATACATCATCAAGTCAACAGTGTTTCTCTCTATCCT